TTAGCAGAGGCATATGTGGCTGCAATAAATCGATTGATTCCTATCAGTAGCACATCCAGTAGCTCTTTATTGCTCTGTGGCGGCACTATAGCCGGGTTATACAATCCAAAAACAGTGTGGGCCATAAACACGTTCGGGATTAGGCCCGAGAAGTCGCTGGAGGAAGTGACACTCGAGAGGGTCTATTGGTCAATGAATTTAAGGAAAACCCGACACTTACAAGGCTCCAAAAGGCAAAAGAATAATCTAGAAGTTACTAAATAGACTTTGAAATTGTAAAATCAAGTATACGCCATGTTGATCACCCCAAAACATAATATCACTCATACGCCATGTATACTACTACTTTTTTGCTCATCTTGGCCAACAACTTCCCACTGTATTAAAGCTATAGCTGGCGAGCACTAACAATAAATGGAGCAAAAACTGAAACTGAAAATGAAACTAAACATGGCCAAGACCGAGACCTTCGTTTGCGATTAGAATGCAATTAGTGGCATTCGCGGAGAGAGTGAATAACAGCTAAAAATCAACTACAAAAAAAAACTCCACAAAAAGTTCTAACAAAACATTATTGCATTGAGCTTCACTTTTTGTACAATTTCAAATTGAATTCAATTTTTTTTTTCCACCTAAGTAGTATAGTTTTTTTTTTTATTATTATTTGTGGTTGCCTTTTTTTTCTCTCGATTTTTTTATCTGTCATAATAACTTCCGCTTCAGCGTCAACTATACATTTTTCGTATGTCTCTTTATGAGGGTAAGAATAATTAGATATATAAATATACTATATGAGATACTGGAGAGACACTCCAGTCGGTCGGTTCTTTGCTTAACCCACATTGTTAGCTCAAGGAATTTATTTTCGGGCAAGAATTTTAGCGTGAAAAGATTATGGCCTCTGCATTAGGCACTGAAAACAGAATAATAATATAAATAAAATGCCTTGTCACCTGTTCGTCTTTTTTTCTCGTTGATTTTTTAATCAAATATCTATTGTTGAAGATGCTGATGATGATTGCCAGCGGCTGAAGGCTTTAAAGAAAAAAAAATGTATCTACGTCGCAAAATAATGATCATAATTGGGGGAATGGCCCACAAGATGGTTTTGTGGGATAGTTTTTAGCCAACAAAAAAAAAGAAACTATTATTAATGAATAATGTGTTATATAATCGCAGACATCGCAAAGTTCAATGTTTGCCATTGAGACGAGGAACGATTCTAGGCACTACTATCATATCACTCCAAAATGCGATATTATGAAATACGAAATCTTATCTGCCAGACACACACGAGTTTTTGGATGCTATTTGAATCGGTATATGCATAGTATATATATTTGTGATTCCGTTTTCGGTTTAGATTCATCAGTCAGGGCAGGTACTACGTGGCTATGCCACACCATACCACTCGGTTTTGGATGTCCCCTCTGTTGCCATCTTATCTGGTAATTATTTGGCTATAAATAACAATAAAAACCTGATCGTAAAACCCGGCGTAAAGCACAGCGGGTCTCCTTATCACGATAATGATCATTGTTCAACCCCGTTGGCTACTGTAATATATTTATTTTTGTATTTATTTTTCATCTTGGGTGAAAGCCTCCAACTCATCCTCCTCCTCCATCCAAGTGGACAGATCATACCTGCTCGTTTATGGAAAGTTTTCAACTCGCGATGACACCTTAATATGTTGTAAAGTTTTTCCCTTCCAGTGCCTTGAAAAAATACAAATTCTAAAGGTTACAACAAAACATGAGACTGGCCACCTCATGTTAATTTCATTCACAAAAGAAACACTCAACAAAAGATACCCACAAGCATATATCTCATATATATATCATTCGATGTAAACAAGTTTTCTTATTCATATGACTGATTATTGATCATGGCTGTTGTTTTTTTTTGTTTTTTGGTAGCTGATGGCTTATGCAACTCTACAGATATATTGGTCATTACTTTTAATGAGATTCTCACGAAAACTTGAGAATAAATTCATACTTTGGGTCAAGAAATTATGGAAATATGCCCTACCCCTACTTGGTTTTAGCAGTGCGTATACGTAATATTCAAGGTGACAAGGATTAGAAATGTAAATTTCCAAGAAATATGAGTGTGTTTCTTCTGCTTTTTATCTACTATCATGCAAAACAATGCCACAAGACCCTAGACTGACTAATTACATGCCAGAAGATATAAATTGACTGATTTTTGGACTGATTTCTTGGTCTGTTGGCCTTAATGAAGTGATAACAATGCTGTGGGCCACGAATGTCGCCGCCTAAAGACGCTCTAATTCGCAGTTTATATAAACTATTTGGCCAGTGTATTAACAAGGTTGTGCCAGGCATAAATATTTGCTCGCCTATTTGGCACTGATCGTGCCAAGGAGGAGGAAGATACATGCGACATACGAGGCGTATGAGTAATAAAGTCAACCTGCCAGCTTCTTTTCATCATAAAATAATAAAATTGTTGTGTAAACGATCGCGAAAACGATATCAACAACCCGGAGATATATATCAGCTAAATTATTATCAAGTTTTTTCTTATTTTTTTTTATTTTTTTTGTAGATGAAACGTCAACAGCCCCCGAACACTTGTTACAAAAAAAAAAAATAAAAATAAAAAATAAACAGACAATACTTCAGTTGGCGAAAGTTTAACCTGAAAAGGTGCAACCAAAAACAAAAGGAATCTACATATATATAATATATATAGTGTCATCAATATTATAGCCATAAATTGAGATTTTTTCTGGTCGAGTTCATAATTTTTCGAGACTTTCGAGACAGTGTTTATCGTTCTACTGAAAACTGAGCTATAATTTTTTTTGATTGATTAATGATCTCGTCGACTGACTATCTTTTCGAAACATGTTCATCACATCTAGGATCCAGAACACGCGAGCAATACACGAATTTCTACAGTTTCTATCTTTAAGCATTTTTTTTCAGGTGATGATAGCGCGCTCGGCAAATGTCCGGTCGGATTTATGGCCATGTTTGGACATTGGTTATACTTATTTATGGCCAAGTTCCTGATCAAGGTACGATACATCTGATTTATTAACTGTCTTTCCCAAGATTTTTCATTACTATTAAGTCATTTCGAAGGCGGCGCGGCTAAGTTTAGTTAAACAATTTCATTAATTTAGTATTTATTTTTTCAACAATTGTTAACTAATATTTCTCATTGCCGTTGATTGCTCAATTGAATATTCAGTTATATAATTGTTTAGTTCAAGTTGAAGTTAAGGCAACAATTTTTAATTATTCCAGTTAGATAATCTTCTCTAAAAACAGAAATAAATAATTAAAAATAGAGTTCGTATCTTTTTTATCTGTATCTCTGTAGTTGAATCTGTATCTTGATGTTTGCCTGTGTTTGCTGATTTTTTTTTGCGGAAGTGCATTGATTTTCCACTCAAGTGGGCACTTGACTTGCCGTTGTCGTCATGAATTGATTTTCTCACCTTTATTTACTCGAAAAAAAAAATCATTTTTGCAGCTCGAAAAATGTTAATTAGTTTTTTGCTTTTTTTTAATTAGAACTGTGTATTTGTGTGTCGGCTGGTGTCTGGTTGTGTTCTAGGTGATTTGTTATCGTAACATTTATGCAAATTGCGATTGGAAGTTGGCAATTTGTGTGCGGATTTCCGCCTACAATGCAACGCATCTTCATGCGACTTGAACTCTAAAATTGTATCTGTAACTCACTACCAGTATCTGTATATCTATATATCTGTATCTGTATGCTTTTTTAACCAGAGATCCCCCAGATAGCCGCAACAGTGAAAGTTTTCTATGCTGATTGGCAGGCTGCGCATGCGCGGCAAGCGCTTAAATAACGCCCCGTGTCTCTCTTTGCACTGCGCATGCCAAAATCCGAAATACCAAAAATCCGATTCCGACAGACTCTGACTCTGAAATCAAAATCACAAAAGCGTCGTATCCATCAGATACAAAGCGTCACATGGCCATTTTTGTCCCATTTAAATGGCTGCTGTCGGCCACTAAATATATATAATTTTTTTGTGGATATTTTTAGCTGTAAGTGTAGACCACCCATTGTGCTTGTGAGACAAAAAAAATTAAAAGTAAAATAAATTATGTTTGATGCTCGAACCTTAGACTCAAAAAAAATATATATAATGAAATATGTGGGAAGAATATCAACCATTTCGAAAATCAAAAAACTATAGGCAGGATTTTAAGACGAATAAAATAATATATGGATCTAAAAGAAAACTATATGGAGAGAATATTTCTAAATAATCAAAGCTGTTCTGAAATATAAAACTCTAGAATAATATATTTTATTTTGTAGATACTATAAATCTTTAGGATTTTAAAGATGAAGAAAAATTATTTATTATCTGATAAGCCGCATTTAAATCCTACACTTTAATAAAAAACCCTGTTTCTTTATCCCCCATTTCTACTTAAAACCTCTAACCAAATCATATAGCTAAAGCTCCAACTTCAGCGCCTAGGTTAGATAGGGGGAACAACACCATTTGCCACGCCTTCTTGACTTTCATTAGAATTGGGCAACAAAACTTGCACATTTGTGCTTTGTTTTGTTTGGTTTCGGTTTCAAATTTTCTTTTATTTTGGTTTCTATTTATTTTTGTGGCAGTGCTCGTGCGAGTCTCCTGCCGCTAAAGTTTGTGTAATTTGTTTATTTATTTTTGCAGTACCAGCTGGGGTTTGGTATGATTTGTTTTTTTTTTTTTTAAATCTCTTGGAAGGCCTTTCTGGTCAGAAATTAGCAAATTAATTTAAATGACTAAGATTTATGCAGGTAAAGGCATTTTAAATGATATATATTAGGGTTTTAAATTAAAACTAAACTCCATTAATTTTGAAAAACATTTACAATTTTGGTTTAAGGTTGGGCCTTAAATATTTATCCTTTTCTTTGATAAAAAAAAATATCCTTTTCTAGAAAATCCTTAATCCTATAATTTTAAAAGAGAAAACAATGGCTCCACTTACCGTTATTACTCTTATACGCGATCGTGAGAGAGCCACTCGCCAGTCCGTAGTGCACTCGTATGTGTTTGTGTATCTGTGTCTGTGTGAGTGCGCGTGTGGAAAAGCCCAAAACAGGATGCGCCGCTTTGCCGCTTAACGAAAAAAATCCACTTCCGTCTTTTTTAATGCGTTTGTATTTGTTTTGTTTGGTTTTTTGCTTTTGTAAATTATGATATTATATATATATATGGCGTTTGTATTATTTGATTTTGCAATTAAATGTTATATAATTGAATTTTTGTGTTTCCTTTTTCGAACAGTTCTTGATTTTTGAATTTATTTTGGTTATGTGTGTTTTTGTGATATTTTTTGTTTCAAGCAGGAAGCTGGGCTCAGAATTCTTGGCGGGGGCGAGTGGTTTACATTTCCGTTCGAGTGGTACAACAAAAAAAATTTTTTAAATTTACAATTTTGTTTCAAAAAAAAAAAATTGGATGTATTTTTTAATTGTTAACAGTCCAAGCCCGTTTTATAATTATTTTTTTTTCGTTTTTGGAATATTATTGGAATTTTTTTTTGTTAACGGATCAGAAAAAAACACGACCAACTCGAAAACGCACTAAAACGGTATTAAAAGCCGAGACTAAAATGAACTTTGCAAGTAATTTACGATGCGGCCCGAAGTCTCGAAAACCTTTTGCCGAAGCCGCCAACGAAGCGAAAATCGAGAAAACCGAGGAGAGCCGAGCAGAGGAGTCTGCTGAGCGGAAAAGCCTGAGCAGCGGCTAAAAGAGAGTCTGGGCCCGAGTCTGACCGAGAGCTTTGACGTCGCTGTCGGCAGAGTTCACTTCACTTTTGCACTTGTTGCTTTTATTATTGTTGTTGTTGTTGTGTTGCGGGGGAGAGATACTTTTCAGCCCAAAGAGTAGATATGGCCAGATGATGATAATGCCAAAGAAGACGACGAACGAAAAAAAAAACTAAGGTATCAGCTGGTGCTGCTGTTATCTACTGCTGCTGCTGCTGTGGGCTGCTGCGGCGGCTGCTACTGCTGATGCTTTTGCTGCTGGTTTGGCGTTCGGTTTGGGAATGATGTTGGCTTAAAGCCGACCGCTACGTAATATACGCTCAGATCCTGTTTGCATGCCGTCGACGTCGCTGCCGGCTGCCATCTACCCTCTGCCCGCGTCGCAGTCGGCGTAGCAGTTGGCAGCCAAAGAGCAGCGCGCCAAAGAGAGCGGCGGCGGCGCATTAGCGGATCACGAGCTTTTTTTTCGGTTGCACTGGTTCGAATTATTGTTGTTTTTGTTTACGGTTTCTTCTTCTCGGCTTAAAGTTTTTCTTTCTTTTTTTTTTTTTTTGTAACTCACAGTGGATCAAATTCGGATTAATAGTTACTCGCAAATTAGTTGTTTGGTTTTCCAATTAAACGCAACCAAATGAATTTTGCAAATAGGAAATTAAGTGTTTATGCGCAATATTTCGGGGAAAAGTTTTTAAACAAATAATCGATCGGACGGACTCTACTTAAGCTTACTTTAAATTAAATATTCTAGAGTAAATAAGAATGGTTTCTACTCACAGTTTCAAGTTATACAATTAGGTCACTATTTCCATTTGCATTTTATTTATAATACATCTCTAAAAGGGAAAGAATAATTAGAATTAGTTTTTAATGATTAGAAACTAATTAAAAATCAGCCGTTCTACTTTTTAATTACTAAAATTTTGATAAATATTTTTAAAGCAATAATAACTTCTTTCTCCACTGCACTCCACTGTGCCTCAGTCGACTGCGCAGCATCGCCGTCAGGTTCGAGGCCCGTGTTCGATGGCGCCAGCAACATGTTGCGGCTCGATCCTCAGTGGGATTCACACGCCAGCCAATCGCTTCAAGCGGCGCTTTTCAACTTTCATTAGAAATTATCGGATGTGCCGACGCCACGCCCACTTCAGTGGGTTGTATGCGAATGTGTGTGTTTTGGATACCACAAAAAAAAATAAAAAAGACATATATGAATTTAACGGCAGCGATATCGCCATTTCCTCTTGCCCTTCCCCTTGGCGCTTTGCTAATTTTTTTATTGAATTTTCTTTTTTGTTGTATTTTTTTTTTTATATATTTGCGGCCAGTTAGCACATCTTAATTCAATAATTGCCAATAATTGCCGTTAATGGTAGAGATGAGACAACAATTGGCTCAGAGTCATTGATAAAAATCGAGGATATATATATGTAAATATCAGAGATATATCCGAGAGGGAGGAGGACGGGCGATGCAGTTCTCTTATAATATTCATCGCATTTGTGTGTCACTGTCAACGGAGTGCGTCAATTGTTTAATGCAAAACAACAAACAAACAGATGGGCAAACAAAACAAAAACCCCACCATCTACGGCAACTTCTATAAGACACTGAAAAAATTTATAAACTGTTTGGAGGTGGTTCTACACATTGTGCTTTATGCATTAAAATAATAAAGTTATAAGCTTGCAATTGAGGCTAAAATATAGAAAAAAAATTACACTTATCTCTTTTAAAAAGATTTTCCTCAGTGCATTTATCCATTATACTATGGATACCACTTACCATATCCCCCATAGCCATTGAACAAAAACAAAAGCCGAACCAAAGATACCCAGACAAGCCATCAAGCAATTTTTATCGTTTCATTTTTAATTTATTAATTATTTATTTGTTTGCTTAAACGAACGACGTTGAACGATCCTCGTTTTGTGTCTCAACTTTTTTTTTTTGGCTTTGGCTTTTCGTCATCTTGTTCGTGGCTTATCGTCGTCATCGGACGACGTCACGAGATATTGATATGGATATATGTACTATATATACAGACGTTAAATTGATAAACAGATGCGGCTACCAAAAGCATAAAAATCAAAAGTAGATACAAAGATATATAGATAGTCCACGTATCTACATATCCACGTATATCCGCAATAGACTCTTGGCCTTCTTCGTTTCTCAAGAATCTGTTTAGAAATTCGGTCTATGGCACATTTTAGTTTATTCTCTTTTTTTTTTTGCCATTTCTGGTTTGGTTTTTTTTAAACCGAAAGTATATTTTCTACGAGATCAGTTCATTAAACCCAGATCTCAAGGTCATCTGTATAAGATATTAAGTCATATATTACAGAGCATTCGCTATTAGATAAGAATGTTATAGCTTAATTCATTTTTTATTGTAGTGATCTTAGTCATTCTTGTGCAACGTGGCGTATACTTAATATTTGCTGATCATTGGAAAATACTAAAACTTAATCCATTAATATTAAACATAGTTAATTGCTAAGAACATGTATTTGTTTAAGCTTTTGGTACTAAAAATATGTTCCACGTGGCGTATACTTCATATTGTGTTTAACAATTTTACTGAAATGTGGCTTATCATTTTTTTTTGACAAAAAATCTCAAAAATATTTTGTCTCAGGATTTTGATGCAGAATTGTGGCAAATCGATCCCGAAATCGTTTAAGGTACTCCGCTTGAGAATCGGATGAGAATTGGGGAAGATATAGCCATCGCAGTGGACCCTATAGGGGAAAACCGCATTTCCAAGGGGTCCCATCAGGAAAAATGGACAAAAAATCGAAAAAATATTTTATCTCGGGATTTTGATGCAGAATGATAGCGAATCGATCTAGAAATCGCTTAAGGTACTCCGCTTGAGAATCGGATGAGAATTGGGGAAGATATAGCCATCGCAGTGGACCCTATAGGGGAAAACCGCGTTTCCAAGGGGTCCCATCAGGAAAAATGGACAAAAAATCGAAAAAATATTTTGTCTCGGGATTTTGATGCAGAATGATAGCGAATCGATCTAGGAATCGTTTAAGGTACTCCGCTTGAGAATCGGATGAGAATTGGGGAAGATATAGCCATCGCAGTGGACCCTATAGGGGAAAACCGCGTTTCCAAGGGGTCCCATCAGGAAAAATGGACAAAAAATCGAAAAAATATTTTGTCTCGGGATTTTGATGCAGAATGATAGCGAATCGATCTAGAAATCGTTTAAGGTACTCCGCTTGAGAATCGGATGAGAATTGGGGAAGATATAGCCATCGCAGTGGACCCTATAGGGGAAAACCGCGTTTCCAAGGGGTCCCATCAGGAAAAATGGACAAAAAATCGAAATAATATTTTGTCTCGGGATTTTGATGCAGAATGATAGCGAATCGATCTAGAAATCGTTTAAGGTACTCCGCTTAAGAATCGGATGAGAATTGGGGAAGATATAGTCATCGCTGTGGACCCTATAGGGAAAAACCCCATTTTCAAGGGGTCCCATGAGGAAAAATGGACAAAAAATCGAAAAAATATTTTATCTCGGGATTTTGATGCAGAATGATAGCGAATCGATCTAGAAATCGTTTAAGGTACTCCGCTTGAGAATCGGATGAGAATTGGGGAAGATATAGCCATCGCAGTGGACCCTATATGGGAAAACCGCATTTCCAAGGGGTCCCATCAGGAAAAATGGACAAAAAATCGAAATAATATTTTGTCTCGGGATTTTGATGCAGAATGATAGCGAATCGATCTAGAAATCGTTTAAGGTACTCCGCTTAAGAATCGGATGAGAATTGGGGAAGATATAGTCATCGCTGTGGACCCTATAGGGAAAAACCCCATTTTCAAGGGGTCCCATGAGGAAAAATGGACAAAAAATCGAAAAAATATTTTATCTCGGGATTTTGATGCAGAATGATAGCGAATCGATCTAGAAATCGTTTAAGGTACTCCGCTTAAGAATCGGATGAGAATTGGGGAAGTTATAGTCATCGCTGTGGACCCTATAGGGAAAAACCCCATTTTCAAGGGGTCCCATGAGGAAAAATGGACAAAAATCGAAAAAATATTTTATCTCGGGATTTTGATGCAGAATGATAGCGAATCGATCTAGAAATCGTTTAAGGTACTCCGCTTGAGAATCGGATGAGAATTGGGGAAGATATAGCCATCGCAGTGGACCCTATATGGGAAAACCGCATTTCCAAGGGGTCCCATCAGGAAAAATGGACAAAAAATCGAAAAAATATTTTATCTCGGGATTTTGATGCAGAATGATAGCGAATCGATCTAGAAATCGCTTAAGGTACTCCGCTTGAGAATCGGATGAGAATTGGGGAAGATATAGCCATCGCAGTGGACCCTATAGGGGAAAACCGCGTTTCCAAGGGGTCCCATCAGGAAAAATGGACAAAAAATCGAAAAAATATTTTGTCTCGGGATTTTGATGCAGAATGATAGCGAATCGATCTAGGAATCGTTTAAGGTACTCCGCTTGAGAATCGGATGAGAATTGGGGAAGATATAGCCATCGCAGTGGACCCTATAGGGGAAAACCGCGTTTCCAAGGGGTCCCATCAGGAAAAATGGACAAAAAATCGAAAAAATATTTTGTCTCGGGATTTTGATGCAGAATGATAGCGAATCGATCTAGAAATCGTTTAAGGTACTCCGCTTGAGAATCGGATGAGAATTGGGGAAGATATAGCCA